GTGAAATGTAGCGAAAGTCGAAAAACGTTTTTCACGTTTACCCGGTCTGAAATAGCAACCAGCATCTGAACGCTGGTATTCAAGAAACTGAGGACCCGCCTGCGAACAAAAAGCAGGAGGCTAACCTGCAGCATTTCAGCGAGGGAAATTTCAACAAGGAAGCACACACCCTGAAGGCGTGTTATTTGCCAGCAAATACTGAAAACTCTGAAGAAAGCGATTGCCTTAGAAAAAGGGCCGGCTCTAAGGCGTAAAGAACCTTCTGACCGTTCAATACACTAAGGAGAAACCCGGATTCTACAGTAACAATGCTATTTTCAGGTAGTAAACGAAAAAAGCCGACTAAAAGTGCACTGAAACTTTTATTACTGATTATTATTAGAGGCAAATGAACAGAGTTGACGGTAAAACTTTCACTAACTCGTAGAAATGTTGCAAATCTAATCGAATTACAACATCAACCGAAAAAAATTAGTCGAAACAGATCGAAATTCGATGAACTTCTTCGCACCAAAGACGAAGAATTACCAGAGGAACGCTGAGAGGTGAAAGTTCAACATTCTGGTTCCAAGGTATTTCATTCATCAGATGTAAACTGAAAATCGACAACGGCTTCCCGGCACAAAACGTACACCCTGTTGCAGACAACCTGAACAAGCTCAGAGCTTTGACAGCTTAAGAAGGCCAGTGATACAAGGGCAAGAACGCCGGTATCGGTATCCGATTGACCATCTTATTGCGTTGTTTCGAATGTTTCGATGTTTACACCTTTTCATAGAGGTTAACAGGTCTCTTGAAGCTCCCACGTGTCTCGATGAAGTAATAAGATTTTGTTTCGGATAGCAAGCATTTGATTCATAAAAATAAAGAGTGAACCAGCCGTGAATATGCTTAACCTCACTGTGTAATTTTGCCCTTATGGGGGGACAGAAGTTAATAAGTGACATATTTTACACTCTATACAAAAATCTGCAGACATCCCTGGAATAAAAGTAGGCAGTGCTTCTGTACACATGCACCCATGACTATGAACGAGGACAACGCCGTCTATCACTTGCGTACGGTTGTCCTCTTGCATATGTATTGTGTCATCGTCATTGACCGATCAGGCACTTGCCACCACAAAAATAAAACATTTATTGATCAATTAATGCTCAGTGAATACAGCGTAACAACAGCCAATAATTAGGCTTCACTAAGTTGCCATTACATGTGATGCGCGAATTCCCGTTTCTACAGCTACTCATTAGCGGAAGACGGCTATTGAAGACGGCTTTGACAAGCAGCGTAACGGTTTTAATGAGCGTGATCGACAGACCAATACTGCTGTGGTGTAAGTCGGCGTAGAAAAACCAATCGAACAGACAGTCACAAGCTTACAAAAGAATGTTAGCTCTATGCACGGATAAATCTGCAAATCTGACTTTTGAAAATATTCTCCTCTATCTTCTTTTTACGGTAATATTCATCATGATCATCATCATAAGAATCCAGGTCGATCCCTGTTGGACGAATGCCTTTTCAACACTTCGCCACAGACTTCTCCCTTCTGTCATTTTCATTCATCTTTATTCAGCGACGTTTCCCAGCTCATCCTGCTATCGAACTGGAGGCGTTCCTACGGGCCGTTTACTTGCTCTTTGAATTCGGTCTAATGTCTCTCTGATCCAGCATTGGTCAGTGTTTTTCGTAAAGTGTACATGTCAGTGCCACTGTAACATTTTACTCAGGCTATCGCATCGCAGACTCTGTGCTCCTAACTATTCGTTCGTTTTCGTGTCTTTTCCTGCCACCAACAGACGTCTGTCGATGATGCGTTGGTGGTCAACGGTTTAGAACAGCTTCCAGGCTAAGGGTCCACGTTTTGTACCTCTGTGTTAGCACGCACTGATCGAAAGCTTTGCATTTCAAGCGCGATGGCAGTTTTCCGGACAGGAACATTTTCAGTTTCCCAAAAATGCTCCTTGCAAATTTTATTCTTCTGCTGATTTCCCATAATCAGTTCTCAGTTGCAGAGGTGAGCTCTCCCACATCGGTGAGGTAGTATTATTCGATAGCTATTCGTGCAGCCACTGAGAGACTTTCCTGGTCCCACGGTTACACGATATGCTTTGGCAATCATTGTCATGGCCGGTGGAAGGCATCGAATGCACTATACATACACTACCTCCGGTTTTCACTATGTAAAATGCAGCCTTGACGGCTTATAACATACTGGCATTTATGCGCGCTGACTTAATGACCTCACACGATTACCATCGTGAAATTATAATGAGAAATTCACAAATGTGACAGATAGGCTTTTTATCGATATATAACATAACGAGCTAAAGTAAACAGCTGATGCATATGACCACGGTCAGCTATACAGGTTCAAAGCGACGATTGCAGCTCCGAGAGATGACAGTAACCAAGGGTCTGCGCGCAAACAGCATTAGTCAAAACAGTCTAACGGAAACGTCCCGATCATTGATGACCAACAATGCTGTTATGCATAGAACATGCGATGAAATGGCTATTCTATAGGTGTCAATCATTCGTCTTGGTCAATGCAACAACGAACGCACTGTTATTCCAACGGTTCTCTAATGTTACATGGCAGTAATACCATAGATTTCGTCTCAGTTCACCACGGACGACGGTACGATGTTTTATAATGGTTTTCACAGAACTTGACCATTAAAATGGATGATAAGTTTTATAGTTTTACGTCATTACCTATGCTATCCATCAAGCGTCTTCTTTTCCTCACAAAGCTTCGTTGAATTGCAATCCTCAGATGTTTGGTGAACAGTACAATGAAAACATATAATTAAACTTTAACAGATAAATAGAGACATCGTAACAAACGTGAAAAAAGGTTTGTTTTAATGAGAATTACAACTGTTCGATTTAATGGTCCTTTCACCAAGATCTGCGGCGCTGGTCGTCAGCTAGCTACTAAAGCAGAACAGAACAAACTGATGGCTTGCAGACAAAGAACGATGAAATGAAGAATGTCCAAGGTGTCCCCCGGATCACGTTCCGAGCCCACAAATTCAAAACTGACTGGAATAACAGACGTGATTTCTGCCTTTTGCAACAAGACAAGAAGGACGGCCACGTAGTTCGCCTGGGAGATAACCAGTGGAGGTCAAGAATTACAAATTTGGTTCTGCCGGACCACAGATATCCGCTTGGACGTACAAGAGAATGCTGGGACAAACCGATAGTCAGATTACTTGATCAGCGGTGGAGGCAAAATGCGGAGAACAGAGAATAATTGAGCAGCTTAAATGTGCGTTCCGGCGCACTCATATCCAAAAGGACAAGTCGGATAACCGATAAATTACTATGGTGCGTTGATAAACCATCGTTGATGATTCATAAAGGCTAAGCCTCACTAAAATAAGCAGTTTTTAACCGTTCCTTTATTGATTTGTAATATTTGATTATTTCGTATTTTTTCCTACAGGGGATCCTTTACTGGCAACGAGGGGCAAAGCGTAGGTAACCACCTGTGTCGTGCTATAAATCTGTTTCATCGACGATTATTTTGCGCTATTCTGCATGAACCAAATTAACAGTTTTCTGGCAGTATTTTTATGAGCCTTTTTGTAAACTTAAGGTGCTCCAAGTTGGTGTTCACTGATTTCAAGTTGAGGCAATTTGAAGAAATGACAATTTGATCTGTCATTATGATTGACAGTTGGCATTTGTTATTATTAACATGTTGTTTCGAATCGAATAATCAGGTATTTTTGGAATTATTACGGATGACTGTATACAATCTGTTCGTCTGGATTTCAGATTCTGGGCACAGTTGCCTGAAAGGGAACTCTTCACATAAGGAACTGCGCTTTATCGACCTTAATTATTCAGGTTGCGCGGAAGACATCTCCATTCCATCTGCCCCTCAACGATCATCTGAGTTTACAGGCCATTCAATCGATCAATCGTCACTCCCTCATCAGAAAGATTGACATTACGATGCAAAGATTTCTCTTTGATTTTCCTCAGAGATTATGGTTCGCCCAGTTCCG